GTTTACATGAGGAGTTGTGAATTCATATTAAAGCTCACGAGCTCATATCAAGGCTCGCGAGCCCATATCAAGGCTCGCGAGCCCATACAGGCTCGAGAGCCAAGCCAAGCTCAAATTATATGGGCTCGGCTTGGCCTGATCCCAACTTTTAAATTTAGGCTTGAGCCAAGCCCAAGTTTTTTGGGCTTGACTAGGCTCGAGCCCTATAGGACTCGACCGGGCTCGGCCTATGGGGAGCTTTAGTTATGTGGTTGTTATATTGAGACGTGAATAGGACATAGGTAAAAAAAGTGAGCAGTTGTAGGATATGTGAAACCAACTAATAATTTTTATTTTTTCAGTTATTTATTAATGCAACAATATAGTATACATCCTACTCACCACTTCTTATATTATCAAGAAGATGCATATATCCAGCCTTTGTAATTTTATATTAAAAAAATAACTACTATATTAAAAGTAACAATTTATTATAATGAAAAAATTATCATTAAGTGATGCTTAAATAACTGCTAAAAAACGTAATGGAAAATGTCTTTCCGCTCAGTATATTAATGCTAAAAGCCCCTTAGAATGGAAATGTGAAGAAGGGCATATTTGATCAGCACCTCTTCACCACATAAAAAACCATGGTACATGGTGTCAATATTGTGCTAATAACTATAACCGTAACTGTCTTAGTCTCGAAGTTGCAATACAAATTGAAAAAAGTAAAGGAGGTAAATGTCTTTCTATCCAATACATTAATAATACAATTCCATTAAAATGGCAATGTAATAAATCGTATATATGGTATGCATCCCTTAGTAGTATAAAAAATCATAATACATGATGTCCACAATATACGAGATATGGGTTTAAATTAAATCTTGATGAAATGCTGAAAATTGCTCAATTGCATGGTGGTGAGTATCTTTCTAAAAAATATATCAAATCTATAAATCAATATTATTGGAAATGTGATAAAGGTCATACTTTGTATACATCCTTTAGTAGTATAAAAAATCATAATACATGGTACCCATTTTGCTCAAAATTCAAATGGGAGAATTTATGTCGTGAGATTGTGTTGAAATATCTTGGACCTCCGTCAGAAAATCGGTGACCAGACTTCTTAAAAACGGTTGAATCCCCTCAAGGTCTACAACTTGATATATTTTATCCAGAATATGGTATCGCGATTGAGGTTCAAGGGGTACAACACAAAAAATATATAGAATTCTTTCATAGAGGAGAGTCAAATAATTTTATCAAACAGCAAGTACGGGATCAACTCAAGAGAGAATTGTGTGGATCATTTTAAGATATATTTGATACTACGAAGACCCATATATAGCATCTTCGAGAATTAGGTCTTATTTAGTAAACTTAAAACTTTCAATGCTCTGTAATCATTTATACACGCAAAACAAGGATCAAATTTAGTCATATGTACATTATTTTTTATATCATTAAAGTAATAAAATCGAGTGTATTATTTTAATAATTGTTATTTAAAATTATTGTACATAATTCTGATTATGAATATTTTTTATTTTCATTGCACATCGGATATATTTATTGAAGATGCGAAAAAAATTTTCTTTGGGTTTTATACTGTGAAGTTAAAACTATGGCAATCCGCTTGTCCAAGTTGCAATTGTGTCCGGAACCCAAAGCCACTCTCGAACTTTGGGTACATCATCATTAGTGGATAATCTTAATTTCTGTAATTCTTTCGTTTGACTTTCAAGCCCATCCTGAAGATTAAAAGTATTAAATGAGAACATTTCCCGATGAAATTTACACATAGAAAATACTCACTATTAAAGCATATAATAATTCAAAAATTTCCAAATAGTCTGCAACTTCAACAAATGAAAATTGTAATCGGGCGGATTTAATTTGGGAAGTTTTGTAACGATATTTTTCACTAAGCGAAAATTCACTTAATGTCATTCTATCACCTAAATAAATATTGCATATAAGAAAAATATATTTTGAAGGAAAACCAAAGCATATAGAGCAATGTAGTAAACATATTACCAATACAATGTATCATATAAACATGTATGTTCTTTGCCATCTCTGCAGGTTTATCTAAATAGTTTCTAAGTAAAGAAACTAATCCAAATGTAGCTTCTTTTAAAAGTTTCTCCGAGTCACCTTTTATGTGTTTGACATCCGGTTTATTAGGACCGCCAGATACCTCGAGAAATACAACTGCCTGGTTACATGAAACCTTTATACCTATACCGTCTGCTTTATTTATAATTAAATCAAAACCGGAAACACCTTTAGCATTTCCTTAATACTTTTTACTTCAATCTCAATCCAGCTGAATTTATATTCGGATATTCGGATTGTAGTGCCTTAAAAAGAGGGACAATTCTTTCCACAGTATATGTTCTCTCATTTATATTGCGATCCAATGAACACAGTCGTGTCATATGATAACTAATTTTAAAATCACAAAATTAATATCGGTATGCATAAAAGTTCATGGATAAAATAAAATAAACTCACAAGTCGTAAAGAATTAGCTCACATACTTGACGAAAATGATGATGATGATCTTCGCAATCTGATTCAAGTTGTGCCATTATGGCATTTTTAAATTCTTTCTTATCAGTCTAAATAAGAATTTTTTTAATATGTCATACCTTGAATTACATAAAAAATAAACCTGTGTTAACTTACTGAAAGTACTTTGGAAATCCAGTTATAAATCGCATCCGGAATTTTGATAGAAACCTCCTCAGTTTTCAAAATTGCGTGTTGATCATTTGTTTTTATTTCTATATGATTATGTAAATATTGTGCGGATTTTCCAGAAAGGATTGGTTTTTGTGGAGTGATAATAACATCTGCTTTGTTTGTTGGTTGTGGGGATGGTGTCCTAGGCTAATAAGAAATGCAATACTCAAACATTACCCACATATTATCTTTCGGAAGAATGAATTACATAGGATCAATCCGATGTCAACTTAAACATTGACACTTCGTGTTTTAACATACTAATAAAAAATATATATTACTCAGGTATTATCCTTTAGAAAAATAGATTATATAAAGATTAATCCAATATTAACTTACATTTCTGTTATTATGTCTCACTGTTACTTGTGATTCTAGTTGTTTTCCTTTATTGATCTTCCGCTAAATTACATGTAATGTCTTTAATATTGATTGACATGTCACCACTTTTTAATTTTTGCAATGGTATTAATGGATGGTATTGCTTACCTTTTTTTTCTGATTATGGTCCGAATCAGAGGAAGTGGAAGAATTATTATCTGGTTCATACTAATAACAAATTTACTTTGGTCACAAAAATGTATTGCATATCAATCAACAGCCAATATTAACTTACATCACTATCATTGGATTTTCGTTTGTCAGTCTAATTATAATATTTAATAAAATTATTATTGTTCGGAGGATATTATTAGTGAAAATTTTTATCACTCGTCACATGAAAAAAAAAAATGGTTCAAGGACTCAAAATGGTCTGCTAAAATTCATATAGATGCTTTTTAATGTTAATCTATATGTTATCACTTACTTTAGTATTATTTACCTTCTCATCATAATCCGAATCAGAAGAGTCAGCTTCATACTAAGGAATGCCATAAAAAATAAGTTTTCATAATTAAAAGAGAGGATCTTTATAACTAAACGTTTCTTAAAGTTCTACCTCTTCATAACCCTTAAGAGGATCTTCAAGAGTAGTTGACGTTGATGCAATAGCGTTGATATCATCAAGAATCACGTTACGAACTTTTGACATCGATTCTGCTCCATCAGCGAAAGTTGAACTAATGGCCTTGCTCTTGTGTATTTTAGAACAGAAGCGTTAGTTGGAAGAATTAACAACTGGAAAATTTTTTAAGCTTACCCTAATTTGGTCAACAGTTACACGAGTCTTCACGTCTGTAACGAGTTTCTTGCACGAGAAGCAATATGATAATTAGTACAATATTCCAGAAATCTTAACAGCAGGGAGCCTTCACTGTATGACCAGGGAAAACCTAGTCAATTCACCGAAACGGGATCATAACCATACGACACGGAGTAATATAGGTAGGTGCAGTGACGCATAAGCACCGAAACTGGATCATAACCATAAAACGCGGAGTAATATGGGTAGGTGCTGATGCGGAGCTCCACTTTATAAACTTCAACATATTTTTTATGTACCTTCCAGCCAGAATCCAGAAGTTCTTTTGCCTTTTGAGCATCACTATCTTCCATTCCTGCACGTCGCTGAAGATCTTTCTTAATATTGTTGAGAATACGGAAAACTTTGTCGTCGTGGCTACAGTAGTGTGATGCAATTGCGTCAAAAGTCCAATATTTCGCGGGTTTTTTAAAGAAGGCCATCTTGTTGATCAAAATACTTGACATTGGATTTAATATTGTCACACGATTGTACTGTGACACCATCACCTCGGATCTATCCATAATAGGGGTTTTTGTGTCAGGCAAAATTTCATATAAAAATTCAGAACAATACTTTTAAAAAACATATATCAAGAAAAAATAGCTATTAATCATTACCAATGGCAATAAATAAAGTTTAAAGTACTAGCCCTCAGGAATACCTAAGATGATTTTATTTTAAAATAGATATATATATGAATAAGTTATATAATAAATAAATCGAATAAATAGATATATGAATTATACATTGTTAATTTGACACATTTCTTCTCGAACCACCTATAATAATTGATAATGTTGAGCGAGTTCTGTAGCACATAAGCCAGAGGAGTGATAATACCATTCAATAAATTTCTGTTGTATAACCTTTGCAACTTGAATTTTCTTTTCAACTTCTCTTGCACATTTAACTCTTTTGATCACATTTTGCATTCACAATTTATACTCATGTAATGCATATTTATCAGCAGTTAAGTGTCAAGATTTGGGCTTTTGTTTAAGCCTCCTGAACTCTTCAAAACTGACTTGAATGTGAACAGAACAGCTTGTGACCCAATGATTCACAATTCCATCATAATTATATCCTCCAACTAATTTTCTAATATATACGAGTTAAGTACAATCGAGACAGATAGCAAATTCGTTTTCACGTGTATAAGCCCCATTTGAAGCCTGAATTAATCTTCTTGTATGAAAAAGATGTTTAGCAGTTCCACAAGGTAAAAGATCATTTTCTTTGAAATGTATATGACAAGATAAAATTTGATCTCTTTATTCAGCAGGTATTTCATTTAATTTAATAATACCCATGTGTACATATTCATACCATTCAGTATCAGTACATTTGTTTTCATGTAAATTGCTTACACTAACCATTTTATATGACCTATTTATAGTGTTTATGGGAGTTATGTAATTTGTATCGAATTTAAGGATTCTAGACCTATTAGATTTAATAATTTATATACTCTAGAATATTTAATTCAATTTTAGTGTGATTGGATTTTGAAACCATTTTTTTAAGAATGTTATATTTTACAAGGAATAAATGTTGATAACAAATCATTATTTTCTATTTGTCGATATAGATTTTATAGGTCTCGATTCTATACTCAGAAATACGAGACAAATTTCTTTAGAGCTATAAAAATATGATAAATACGAAGTATTTGACTTATAAACAAGATACATATGAAATTAACAAATGATAGCTATGGTAGATCATAAAAGGAAATTCTATTTGGATATATAATTACAAGATTTTAACATAAGCAGATATCGATAACGAATTATTTTTAATTATAATTAACCTATCATGTGATATATATCATAGAATAAATTTGAATGTAATAAAATCTACATGCATCATCTATCTGATCATGTGATACACCAATTATCAAATTTAATTAGTTCCCTTACACCTTGCATATCTATGTGAAAAATATCTTAAAAGTAGATACATAACATCATTTTTTATACTTTTTATATTTATCACAAAACTAATTCAAAATATTGTACTTTTTACAAATAGGGGTATCGTTAACCTGATTTGAATAATTAACTCGAGATATATTCATACCCTTTATTCTTGTGTATACGTTATTTTTTTTTCCTAATTTATTCTTTAGTGAAATAATGAAAAGTGGTAAAAGGAAAGTATCATGACTTCTTTATCTATATTTAAATAACTGATTCTAGAACATATATATATTCTTTGTTATTATGTATATATCAATCTCTCTTAACCCATAAGTTAAGATACTAAAAAGAAAATAATGAGAAGTGTTAAAAGAAAAGTATATTAATGCTAATAGAAACTTTAGTTATAATTTTATTTGTAATTTTGATTTACTGAAATATTATATCTTTTATTATCAATATGACATATTTAATATCTAAGATTGAAGCACTTTTATTGAAAGAGTTATTAGATAGTTTTTGTGATACATTTGTGATTTACCTTGCAATAGAAAATGATATTTTATCCTCTTTCGAATATGTAAGAGGAGTGATAGACTGTACAATAAATTCGTCTCTGTTAAAAATAGAAGGTATTGAATGAAAAACAAAAGTATTGAAAGTGTTATTCCAGATTAGTAAAATTTTAGATTATGTGATATCAATATTTAATGATAACTCTATAGTAAATGTGGATATTTAGTTTTGATATGTCATAGCTAAAAGTTGGAAAATACCAGCTCAGAAGAACTATGTCTTCTAGATGTAGAAGGTTTCTGCTCCTCTCTAACTGTGCATGACTATCCAACCAAAATAATGTTATCCTATAATTTCTGAAAACACATATGTACAGAAGCAAATGCGACATAACTTATAACTTTAAGAATAACTAATATACCAGTATATACTATTGCATTTACCATAAGTTGAGAGTAGATATATTAGTGTTTGAGATCTTAAGGTATTCAAGATATTGAATATAGAAAAGGAATTATACCCTGATCATTCTTGAAAAGAAATAGACAAGAATATTAATAAATTAAAATATAAACTTGAGACAAGTATAAATTAGTATAAAGCATTATTACTCTCAAAACTAATAGGATTATATATCTAATACTCTGCATCAGAAATGGATACGAGTCTTTACAGTTCACTTAGACAAACTCTTAAGAATGTAGACTTGATGAATTTTACGTGGCGTGATCTTGAAGTGAGTATGGTTATTAGTAATAATTCATTCATAATAAAAAATCTAGAGCGTAGACAGAAGAGTACTTTTTGGAACTATGAGAAAATATGAAATGTACTATACCTGATTCAATTATGACGAAGTGTAATGAATTTATAAGTAATTTTAATAATTCAAATATTTTGTGGGTTATGAGGAATACTTTCCATGATAAAATGTGAAAAGAAGATGAAAGTATGATAATAAAAATAACTAAACATATTCTTGAAACACTGTTAAGTAATTTTCTGATAAATAATATATATATTTTCACATGTTCCTAATACACTTTTATTTGACCATATCTGTGTATTCTATGTATTAGTGGCGAGATATAGAATAATCCTGTATTTATGATTAGTATATCTCATGGTAAGCAAAGTGAAGGTACTTATGTTACAGATATTATAATTCCTTTGTTTTGATTGAGTTTGAGGGGTGATACTATTTGCTTAAGTATGGCAAAGCGTCAAAGTCTAGCGAGCAAAACTAGGCGAAGTGTAAGAGTAGATGAAGAGTAAATAGGGAAGAAGCCTGAAATTATGGGGTTGTTAAAATGGGATGAAAAGATTTTAGAGTTAATGTATATCGAGTTTTCATATATTATCTGTACTAATTCAAAAAAAGTAGATGATAACATAAAATTATGAAGAGAAATATTAGATGGAATGAGTTTTATAGGTGCATCATGTAGACTAGCCAGAAATCAATTTGAAGTTGTAAGACTCCAAATTACTAGTACAGACATGCTTTTTAATATTTTAGTAAAGGACTTTAGTGGTATATCAAAATATTTTCACCTAGACCATTCTGAAATTCCATTAATACCACACACTTTGTACACTAAATCTTTAGTTTGTTTATTATTAACCTTAAGAAATATTATAATCGTTAACAAAAGCTTATTAGTGCAGATATTAGAACAAGCTAATACTTATTCACCTCGAAATATCAGTTCAAGCCTCACTGTTTTATTACCACCTTATAATAAATATTAGATAAGTATAGGAAGCATTATTTGGATATAGATTTTTTTGTATTTTTCTTTGTATATAGATATCATTTATTTTATCTTATATTTTATCTTATATTTTATCATATATTTATTAATAAAGATTTTTAGTTAGAGAAATGTATAATGTATCATATGTTATTTTTTGTGTAATGTATATCAATAATTTTTCTGATTGTAAATGTCATTTATAATTTTTCTATAACATGTTTTTGACACTTAAAATGGTTAGAAGAATTTATAACATATCGTGTATTATTTTTTGTGTAATATATAACAGTAATTTTTCCATAATAAATTTCTTGACAAAAGTGATCAGTGTGAAGAAACTTCACGTGCATGTGATTTCTCAACTTTTTGAATATATCTGTGTCTATATAAAATAATAGCAAATATATAATCTAAAGATAATCCATTAAGAGTGCTGAATTTACAGCTCGTGAACAAGATTGCTGAGCTTAGAAAAAGAATGCCAAGATTCCTGAACTTGAAAAGAAATTTGCTGAGGTTAAAGCTAAAAATGCAAAGCTGAAGTAAATTATTGAAGAAAATGAAAAACACGATATTAGAGTCAAGGAATTAGAGCAAAAGAATATAGAGCTTAAGACTAGACTCGCTATATTAGAACAGGGAAAAGAAGAAAAAAGTATTTATACAGAAGATGTTTTGTACTCTTCAGTAAAATCTAACAATACCCATAAGCAACTAAACTCACAATGTGATGATACTACTGTATCAGATATAATTAATGAAACTTCAAATTCTAATGTATTTCAAGGAGAGATGAAGTCTATAGTTTCTAATACACCTTTAACCCGATGCTCTGAATCACCTATTCATATAAAACCCATAACATCAATTCACACAGAAACTAAATTACCAGAAGATAAAGAGATCGATAATTTCTTGAATTCAAAATATAAGGAAAAGGTTAGTAATGAGATAATTCAGAGTATTAAAGAAAAGAAACTTCGAGATCAATAGTTACTCTCAATTCCTAAGACTACGATTCCTAATATTTCTCAGATTTCTACATCACTTAATCATAATAAAGATTTAAATATACAAGATACAAAACTTTTTTCTTCTGAATTTAAATCATCTATTATTTCTTCTTTCAATCAGGAACAAAGTACCATTTCTTCTGAAATAAAAATTCCTTATAATTAAAAAGTTAAACAGGATTTAATATATGAGTTATCTATATTTATTAACAAGAAAAATTTTTCAAACTCTATATCTGATAAACAAATTCTTGGACATATCAGCTTCACTGAAAATATGTTAGATGAAGCTGATCTAACTCTGGCTTCTGTATCACATCTAGCTCATTTATTTGATAAGGTTAAAAAAAACTGGTCAGAAAGAAATTTTACATTGATATTTTTATAGTGAGAAATTCAAAAAAAAAGGTTAGAAATATTAGCATAGAAAATAAAATTAATAATCAAATAGCAAGAATACAGATTTACAATGAAATAGAAATATATCTTTCTAGTATTAAAAGAGAGTATTTACGTAAGAAGATTCAAAAAGCTAGAAATATTTATACATTGTTCAAAGAAATAGAAATAAATAAAATCAAGTAGATTATATATAGTACTGATTATACATGCCCCCAAAATTAAAAATCCAAAACCCGACCCCGGTTAATTTAAAATGACCCCGAAATTGAATTCCG